AGGCCTACACTCTTTTAACAACCAAATAATGGAATACTTGGTGTGAGCCTCCAACTGATCGGACGGTATTGTGTTGGAGCTGGGTGGTGTTTCCTAGGTTGGGGTGGTGAGAGGTACAGAGGCCAAAACTATCATCTGTTCTTTTTTTTTCTTAAAAAAAAAAGTTGAAGTCACTTCAAATACTCTGCCAGTTTTTTTTTTAGTTTCTGCTGTTTTTAGTCCTGTCTCACACCCACCCACACCAAGTTTCTGGACTGTGGCCTGATGTTGCTGCTTTTTGTGATCTCTCTCTCTCTCTGGTGGGAAATGGGTGTGCGTATTTTTTTTGTTTTGTTTGAAGCAGGATGGGGTGGGAGGGCTGATGTTGTGGGCCGAGGTGAGAATCTGGCAGGGTGGAGGCACGGACCAGCAAAGAGAGGGTTGGCACTCCCACATTTGTGGCAGAATAATGCATGTTGTAGCTATTTGTTTTCAATCAATCATGGGAAGCGGGCATTGCTGACTGGACCAACATTTATTGCCCATCCCTAGTTGCCCCTTGAAGGTGGTGAGCTGCAATCCACCTTCAAGTAAAATATTGCTGCTCCTGTCACACACTCTAAGGTGATGTGGACTGAGGGATAAATATTGGCTAGGTCCCCCTACCCACTTCCTGCTGGGAAATATCCCCTGCTTCTCTTCAGAATAATGCCATGGGATCTTTAACATCCACCTGAGAGGTTAGTGGGACCTCCATTATATGTTTATATTCCTGACCGTGCAAGCTAGTACCTCTGAAGTGCAGCTTGAATCTTAATCCTTCTGACTGCACGGGCAAGAATAGACCTAACTAAGGGGAAGGTTGAGATAACACCGTGTGGAGCTGGGGGAGCACAGTGGGCCAGGCAGCATCAGAGGAACAGGAAAGCTGACGTTGTCTCTTTGCAAGAGGTCTGCATTTTAAAATCACAATACCAAGGTCATAGAATCAGAGCATCCCTACAGTGAGGAAAGAGGCCATTCAACCTATCAAATCTGCACTGACCCTCTGAAGAGCATCCCACACAGAGCCCGCCGCCCCTCTCCATCCCCCAACTCCATAATCTCTGTAACCCTGCACTTCCCCATGGCCAATCCACTCTAACCTGCACATCTTTGGACTGTGGGAAGACACTGGTGCCCCTGGAGGAAACCCACACAGACACGGGGGGAGAATGGCGACTGTCTGTCTGTGTGGACTTTGCACAGAAGATGGAATTGAACCCGGGTCCCTAACCACTGAGCCACCCTGCCACCCTAAGGTGCCTGACGAAGTGAATGAAATTATCACAGTAGTTACTGTACTCGGTAAAGGTGACTCTCAGAGCTGGGAGGGATTGAGTTCATGAACTAACCTGGTAACCCTGGAAAATAGCCTTGCAGGGAGTCTAGCACCACAACATATGGTTGATCTCCAACAAAGAGCAAGTGCAGCATAAAGTCTATCTGCACAAACTAAACACTGACTTTAGTCACAGCACTGGGTTGGTTAGCTCAGTTGGCTAAACTGTAGTTTAGATTGTCAATGATGCAACTTCAGCCTCTAACCTGGCTCTACTGGGTTGTGGAGGCGTGATCCTTGCTGTGTGTTTGATGGCAGAGTGGTACCTTTCAAATTATAGAACCACTTGTCCATTGCCTATTGTTCTGGGACAATGTCCAGCAATTGCAATGTAAAAACATCTTTATATACCACAGAAGAAAGCACATACAAAACTGTAGGTTAATAGCTGTGAAGCTTTTTCAGTCTATCCTAAGCATGTAAAGGGTGCTATGTAAATGCGCAATCTTTAACAAATTAGGGAGCTGTGTACTAGCTTGCAAAGTATACATATTGTGCCAAGATCAATCATTCTTCACCTGCAAAATTTAATCTGAAGGCATCTGTTTCCTGTTTTTTGAAGTTGCGTGGAGGCTGTCAGTGTATTTTGTTTTGTTGTTGTAATCTAGTACAGCAAACCTGAGTGAGTTTTTCAGTCGGGTGTGTTACATGTTTGCTCAAGAAGAAAACGAAAGTGGCAGAATTAAGGCCATTGCCACAGTTCTATCGAAGAATGGAGCTCTGATTTTTTTTTTGGGGTGGGGAAAAATACTCTGCCCAATTCTACCAGGACATGGGGAAATCAGCTGTTCATCCACAACATCTTTCTTTTGCAATTGATAGATCGTCGACCCAAATGTTACATGGACTGCCCTGCTCTGCGTCCACATCCTGACTTCCTGAGATATTCCTGCTAAAATTACCAGGAATTAAACGGCGTGAGTCAGGGCAGAATGCTCGGAGTTTAGAAAGTTGTGGGTTCAAGGCCCACTCCAGTAATATTTGGGCACAATAATTCGCCAGTGCAATGCTGAGGGAACACTGCACTGTCAGAGGCACTGTCCTCTGGATGAACTGTTAAGCCGAAATCCTGTCCTTAGATCCTTTTCAAACAAAAAAAAAATGCCACTCTTTCAAAGAGCTTGTGTGAGATCTTGCTATGCATAAATGAGCTGCTCTGTATCCTGGATTATAACAGACAATGTTTCACTGGGTATAAGATACTTTGCAATGCCCTGATTCTCTTTAAAAGACATATCATAGACAACATGAGTCTTATTTTAAGAGGCAATTAGGCCTGTGTGGAACCTGGATCCTGAAGGACAGGCGATTATAGCCTGAAGGATATTAATGAGGAATGTTGGGATTTTGCAACAAAAGAATCTGACCACTTTACGGTCACTTTTACTGAGACCAGGTCTTTATTTCTGATTTATCTTTAAACTTAGCTCGCAAGAATGTGAGCTCAGTTAGGTCACATTGCTAATCCGGGCCTGGAGTTTTCCGAGCAAGAACATTAACATTAACAAAATAATGTTAGCTCATTTGTTTTGGGCTTCTCCTCCATGGAAATGCCTCGATCAATCAAAAGCCTGCTTGGCAGCCAGTCAACACTCTCCTCTCATCATTGATTTTTTTCCCCTTGACTCGGTATTCTTGCAAAGTGTCCTGATGAGGGCCATGTAAATATTCCACAAAATGTGTCCTTTTCTTTTTCTCCAGCAAAGTGTCAGTCACCAGATAATCTGTTTTCAGTGACGTTGGTTGAGGGCTACATCTTCTGTAAGATGTTGGGGGGGGGGTAGAAACTCGCTGCCTTTGGAAATAGTCCCACAGGATCTTTTGGGATTAGAACATAGAACATAGAACAGTACAGGCCCTTCGGCCCACAATGTTGTGCCGAACTTTTACCCTGAACCTAAGTTCTATCTAACCTCCACCCCTACCTTTATACTATCATCCATATGCCTATCTAATAGCTGCTTAAATGCCCCTAATGAGGCCGATTCCACTACCCTCTCTGGCAATGCATTCCACGCCCCGACCACTCTCTGAGTAAAGAACCTACCTCTGACGTCTCCCCTATTATCTACCTCCACTCAGTTTAAAACTATGCTCCCTCGTAATAGCTACCTCCACCCTAGGAAAAAGTCTCTGGCTGTCTACTCCATCTATACCTCTGATCGTTTAGTACACCTCTATCAAGTCACCTCTCATCCTTCATCGTTGTAAAGAGAAAAGCCCTAGCTCTCTCAACCTTTCCTCGTAAACCTTCCCTCCATTCCAGGCAAACTCCTAGTAAATCTCCTCTGCACCTTTTTCAACGCTTCCACATCTTTCCTGTAATGAGGCGACCAGAACTGGACACAATACTCCAGATGTGGCCGAACCAGGCTTTTGTATAGCTGGAGCATAACTTCACGGATTTTGAACTCAATCCCTCTATTAACGAAAGCTAACACCTTATGATTGTGCAGATTCATGTCATGTGCGGATTTTAAGACAAAAAATGGCAAAGAATCCATTAGCGGTCCCTTTCTTTTGGTTTTGTTTCATAATAACACAAGTTCACACCAGTTAGAAATCTTGAAGTGGAAACTGAAACTGATGGAAACACTCTCAGGCAGTAGCAACAGAGAAGGAAACTGTAACATTTTGGCTCAAAGATTCAGTTACAGAAGGAAAATGTTGCAGATTATTTAGTTTTTAGATTTTTCATTGTTCTGGCAGAATCGGGGAGTTTTTAAAAATCTGAGCGCAACTCTCTACATCTGTGGTGGTGCTCTGAATTCTGAAGCTTTCATTTTTAAAACAAATAATTTTTAATAAAACATCATTGGCACTTGCATCCAAGTCGATTGGGACCATAGTCAAGATGAATGAATAAACCACGTGATTTTAATAAGCTTTTTCGAGATTCACTGCTTGTGTAGCTCAGTATGACATTATCAATAATTAGTTTTTATTAATTAAACCGGGTAAGTAGATGCTTTAGGAATAACAGTTATCAAATCTTCCAAAGCCAGACCTTTGATTTGTTTTGTATGTAGTCACAGGGTGTGCCAGGATTGTTCATCTTTTTTTAGAATGCTGTCTGTTTGTCATGGCCAGTCTCTGTTGGCTAAGATCCTGCAAACAGTGAAAGGATATATAAATCTGTGGGTTAGGGGCAGAAGATTGACCAGAGGAATTCCCTACTGTTCAGACAATGATGGGATTATCAGCCTCCACCTTTGGGTTTGTTTGACTCCCAGCATCTCCACCAGCGAGATTAAATGTAGAATATCCATTGAAGCCTCAGTTAGGGGCATCTACTCAGTAGAGGTGACATTTGATTTGGATCAGCTGTGATTTTGTTGAATGGAGGAGCAGGCTCGAAGGGCCAAGTGGCCTATTCTTATTCTTATCAGTGAATCAGAAGGTACAAACATGAGAATGTTCTCCCTGAGCTAAATCTGAGAGTATGATTTCTATCTCCAGCTTGAGTTCTAAACAACTTGACACTTGCTTGAAGCAGAAGCCTGTTGCATCATTGGTTAATTCCTGTCTGTCTCCTTTTTCAGTTGCATGTCTGTGATAAACCAATCCGTTCTCCTTGAGCAGAGATTGGTAGGAAGCCATTTTGCTTGATGGTGTTTTTCTCCATTCTCTCTTCTGGCAGGTTACCATGGCAATGATTGGAGACTCCACGGCATCTTTTGCGATGAGTAATCACACAAGGGAGAGAGTAACTGTGGCTAAACTGACACTGGAAAATTTCTACAGTAACCTGATTGCACAGCACGAAGAGAGAGAAATGAGGTAACCTTCTGCTTTTTAATCTCTGTCGGGTGTTTGTTTGGCCCCTCACTCCTGTTCCTTCAGATCGTTACTAACCTGCACTGTTTCTGATTTTCGTTATTCTTTCTTGGGACCTGGACAACGCCAGCATTTGGTGCCAGCCATCCTTTTCCCTGGAACTGCTCAGCTCTCCAGGCCATTTTCACTGGCTACCTTTGGCTTGCTAGTGCCATTTCAGAGTGCAGTGAGCCTGGAGTAGGCTCACTAGGTTTAAAAAAACGGCAGAATTCCTCCCTTTTAACGAACCAGGCAGGATTTTACAACAAAATCATGGCATTGTTACATTGCAGAAGGAGGCCATTTGGCCCATCGTGCTTGCTCCAGTTCTGTCACCTGAGTGCCAATCTCCCATTTTTTTCCTCCATTCCCAGGGCACCATTTCGATCTGAATAATCATCCAGTGCCCATTTTGAATGGCTCATTTGAACCTGCCTCCATCGCATTTCCAGGCCTTGCATTCCTGTATGACAATGTTTGTTTTTTTTCTAATGTCACCCTTGCTTCATTTGCAATGCACTTTAAGTCTATGCCTTCCCCAATTTTTTTTTTTTTAAATGAGCAGGAACAGCTTCTCCTTACCTACTCTATCCAGCCCGCTCATGATATTGAAAACCTCTATTGTCTTTCCTCTTGGTGGCCTTCTCTACAAGAATCCCAGTTTCTTCAACCTGTCCTCATCACCGATGTTTCTCATTCCTGGACCCATTCTTGTAACTAAAAATCAATAATAGTTTCATATGGGAACAGGAGTAGGCCTTTCAGCCCTTGAGCCTGTTCCACTATTCAATGAGATCATGGCTGATCTGTGGCCTAACTACATAGGCCCTACTTTTGGCCCAGATCCCTTAATACCATTTTGCTTAACAAAAATCTATCTAAATCAGAATTAAAATTAACAACTGATCCAGCATCCACTGCCATTTATGGAAGAGAGTTCAAAACCTGTCCCTCCCTCTGTACATATTTTTACATACCTAACATCTCTCCTGGATGGTCTAATTCCCTAGGTCACTATTACCAAGGCTAGCTTTCAGTTCCTGATTTGTTAATTCAATTTTGTTTCCACCGGTTGCTGAGGCGGGATTCAAACTCTCATCCCCAGATCATTATTAGTCCAGGAACATTATCACTTGCCCTCTCTTCCTGTGACCCCTTTTTTTTGTTTTTTATTTGTTGAATTTGCACTATTCCCGTTGATACACTTTACCAAACAAAGATTGGATCTTGTGGGCTGCATCGCACCTTTTTGGATGGAGAGATTTCCAGACAGCCAATGGCCTTAGTGTATACAACTGCTTCCCGTGATCACTCTTAAACACAACAATTTATACAACAGGCAAAAAGGTGCTGAGCAGTTGGCAAGTCAACTCTGATTGGCCAACGTGTTGCTATGTAGAAAACTCCCCTGTTCCGTAAATTGTTCTGATTATATGATAAGTGGGAGAGGGTCAAAATTTCAAATATTCACAACAACTTAACACTGCAGGGAAGAAAGATACTGACTGGTTTACAGGTTTTTGCAGTAACATTATTATTGTGATTGTAATGTGCTATTCTTGCATTGGTCCTGATGAGTACAAGACCAAGACCAAAACCTTCAACCACAGGCCTCCCCTCTGCCATGCACTTTCAACTGTTTTACCTTTTTTAATGCATTCTGTCCTATTTTGTTGTCCATTCTGTAGTTTGTAATATCTTGATGTCCCCACCCATCACCATTGCTCCCATCACCGTTCTCACAATCGCACTGCCATCATCATCATCATCATCATCATCACCATCACCATGGTCACTATTGTCATGGTCACCATCACCATCACCGCCGCTTCCGCCATCACTGCCATCACTGCCAGCACTGTGCGTGGCTTTGTGCAATGGACATATGGAGTAGACCAATGCCATTGGCAGGTAAATTTTAAGGCCGGTGGCTTAAGCTGAGGATGAGCCAATTTTAGCCTGGAGGTGCCTCAGTGAATGTCTCTTCGCAGTAATCGGGTCTCAGACATGTGCAGAAACTCATTGTCCTGCGTTATCCAACTCCACTCCAAGCTGAGAAGCTGGTTCCAGTTTGCGACAAGACCAGTGTGGAGCTGGAGGAACATGCTTTGTGCACAGCCTGCAGCCCCTACCTCATAACAGGAGGTGGTCATTCAGCCCCTTGAACCTGCTCCACCATTTGGATGGGTCAGTACTTGAAATTCATTTTACCCGAGTTTTTTTAATTAATCCACAAGCTGTGGGCATCACTGGCTGGGCAGCATTTATTGCCCTTCCCTACTTGCCGTTGAGAAGGTGGTAGTGAGCTACTTTCTTCAACCACTGCAGTCCATGTAGGGTAGGGGCACCCACAATGCTGTTGGGATGCAAGTCCCGGATTTTGACCCAGTGACACTTGCTCCATAATGTTTCATACCTTTACCTAACAAAAAAAAGTGGAACTCAAACTTAGGCACTGATTCCAACTGGAGCTACAGCTTTCCACTATCCTTCCTGACTTCCCTTCTGGAAGGCCTAATGCTAATTTTATGCCTCCTTGTTCTTGATATTTTTCTCCACCAGACAGAACGATTTCTTCTATGCAATCGTCCTAATCGCTGTAGAGTGGTATTCCACCAATTGGAAAGAGGGGGAACACTTAAAGAATGCCCACCCCCTCCCATCACCAACTCGTCTTCCCCGAAGGAGGGGTCAGCTAGTCGTGCAGTTGTAATGTCACTGGACTCGTAATCTGGCCCCCCAGGTTAATGCTCTGGGAATGTGAGTTCAAATCTCGTCCCAAAAAAAAAGCCAGTCTAATAATAGCCATGAAACCATTGCTGAATGCAGTTTTAAAAACCCTCCGCTTCGTTAATGTCCTTTAAGGAAGGAAATCTGTCACCTGCCATTTAAGGAGAAATGATGGCCTAGAGGTATTATTGCTGGACTGTTAATCCAGGGACCCAGATAATGTTCTGGGGGCCTGGGTTCGAATCCCGCCACAGCAGATGGTGGAATTTGAATTCAATAAAATATCTAGAACTAAGAGCCTAACAATGACTGTGAATCGTTATTGATTGTCGGGAAAAACCCATCCGGAAAACTAATGTCCTCCTGGTGAAGGAGACTGCCATCCTTACCTGGTCTGGCCTTCAAACCCAAAACAATGTGCCTGACTCTTAGCTGCCCTCTGGGCAATCGGGGATGGGCAATAAATGCTGCCGAGCCAGCAACGCCCGACGCTGCCCTCTTGTGAATGAATTTTAAAAAAATCCTTGTGACTCCAGACTCTCAGTAATGTGGCTGATTCTTAACTGCCCTGAGGGTAGTTAGGGATGGGCAATAAATGCTGGCCTAGCCAGTGACACCCCTTCTCCTCACCAACCCCCCCCCCCCCATGTCCTGTAAATGAATTTTTGAAAAAGTGTGTTGCTCGAGAGTAAAAAGCTCTGATCTCGGCAACGAGAACTGAAGGTGGTTGAAGACATTTGTTGCTTCCCCAGTGGCTGGGACTGTGAATGTTTCAGTAGGGATGAATCCCAGCGTTTCGGGAGATTTATGCTCCTCCGATTTTTCTAAATAAGCCAGATATCAGTAGCCTGAAGCCACTGGGTTGCCCAGATATCAAGTTACCATTGTGTTTGATATCTTCATTTGGTTCAGTAATTAGCTCCCTGTCCTCTCTTTCCCCTCTGCCCTTATTTCATGGAGTTTTGAGTTTACGTACCCAGCTGTGCCTTGGGCAGAAGCTCTTGTGTTGGCGCTCCCTGGGCAGCACTGAGGGAGAGCTGCTCCCTCAGGAGGGTGATCACTTTGAGATGAGACATTAAATCGAGACCCTGTGGATATCGTAGATCCCATTGCATCACATCAAGTCCTGGGAAGTCTTTCTGAACCACTTTGATCAATATTTGTCCCTCCACCAAAAACAGATTATCTGGTCATGTGTCAGCATTGATGTGGGATCTTGCTGTGCACAACAAGTCTTCCTACAGAACTGACTGAACCTGACAAGCCTGTCAAGTTGATTTGTTTGTGAAGTATTTTAGGATGTCCTACTTCAGCGCAACTCTTCCTTGTCTCCTTTTTTTTCCCCTCTTTTTGTTTCTTTGCACACTTCCTTGCTCTGTCTTTGTACTTCCCTGCAGTCTTTCACTTCCCTGTGAATATGCTGTGTTTGGATATTCTCCACTGATGTTATTCTCAAGTTCTTTATGACTGGGTGGATCTCAAACAGATAGTTAGTTAGTATCGAGGTGTGCGTGTGTGTGTGTGTCCCTATCTAATCGCCTGTGGTTTGACTCATTTTGAGGAACAGGAAGATGAATGTACCCAGGGGAGCAGACGTTAGAGAGGGACCTCTAGCCTGAGGTTTTTAGTTGATGTTAATGACGGTTTGAGGTTTGGAGTGTTTCTTCAGTGCTGGTTGTTTACCATGTACTGAGATACAAATGCAGCTTCCGTCTTGTCCAAAGCAGCTTTACTGTCAACAAGGCACAAGTCAGGAGTGTGATGGAGTACTCCCCACTTGCCTGGATGAGTGCAGCCCCAACAACACTCAAGAAGCTTGACACCATCCAGGACAAAGCAGCCGCTTGATTGGCACTACATCCACAAGCATCCACTCCCTCCACCACCAACGCTCAGTAGCAGCAGTGTGTACTATCTACAAGATGCACTGCAGAAATTCACCAAAGATCCTCAGACACCACCTTCCAAACCCATGATCACTTCCATCTAGAAGGACAAGGGCAGCAGAGACCTGGGAACACCACCCCCTGCAAATTCCCCTCCAAGTCCTTCACTATCCTGACTTGGAAATATATTGACATTCCTTCACTGTCACTGTGTCAAAATCCTGGAATTCCCTCCCTAAAGGCATTTTGAGTTTACCTAATAGCCACCTTCTGGAGGGGAGTTCGAGATGGCCATTTACTGCTGGCCCAGCCAGGGACCCCCACATCTCACTAAACAAATATTCGAAACCACTGCATACCTAATGTGTCCAGCCTGTCCCTATCCTCAGGAACCCCTGCTGTTACACAGTCTCCTTGCAGACACTGAAAACTGGAATCAAACCTAAAGAAGATTCCAGCCTTTGCAAATGACTGGTTAGTTGCATGAGAAACCAAATCCTGAAATGAAAATGGGGAAAAGAGTGCTGAGGTAGTGACTGAGGAGAGAGAGAGACACAATTGATAGTTTTGGCCAATGACCTTCCAGAGAACTGGAAAACATTAAAAATGTTTTAAACACATTCAGGGACAGGGGCCTCGTAGAGAACAAATGAAGCATGTGTGTGAAAGGGGTGGGGTGGGGTGGAGGTGAGGAAAGAGTTTAAAAGCTAAAAGGGCATGAGGACTCCAAGTTGCAATTTTACTCTCAAACTGTTACCTTTTTGTCTGTTGTTGTCTGTCACTCTTATCCACTGTGAGCCTGATAGCTCAAGGTGTCAAACTTACCTCACCAGGCAAGTTGGTATTGGCTAGGTACCTGTGCATTTAAACAACACTGTTAGGATTTGGGATGATTAATCAAACGGTGTTATTCAAGGCTGACTGTGTAACTGGCGCTAATAATGTTGTGGGTTCATATCCCACTCCAGGGATTTGAACTCTCAGTCCAGGCTGACCCTTCACTGCCACACTGAGCGATTGCTGTGCTCTCAGATGTACCTCCTCTCGGGAGAGACATTAAACTGTGCCCACCTGGGTGGGTGGAAAAGACTGCACCACAGTATAACATGTGTTTCTCCAACACGAGTTGGCTATTTGTAGGACCTGAACTCTCCCTGTATTGGCTATAACGAGACTCCAGTCCCATTAGTCTAAATGGCGCGGCTATTATGTGATTTTTCTTATAACCCGAAATCGCATGAGAACGGAAGTACCGCATTGCATCAGAACTGACTGTGGTTTGGAGGGAGTTAACTCCAAAGTTCTGGAATTCTGTCCCATAAGCCACCTCCACTTTTCTCTAGCAGACTTGCCTCATTTAAGATATGTTGAAGAGGTAGCTCTTTGACCAAGGTTGTCATTATCTTCCTCATTATCACCTTGTGTAGTTCACTGTCTGATTTTTTTTTTTGTCTTCTGAATGATGTTGGGCGTGGCAGATTAGTATATTTGATCTTTCATAGATGATAGGAATGGGAGTAGGCCATTTAGCCCCTCAAGGCTGCTTTGCCATTCAATATGATCATGGCTGATCATCCAGCTCAATATCCTAATCCCACCCTTCCTGTATACCCTTTTAGCCACAAGAGCTTTCCATAGGCTCACCACCCTCTGGGTGAAGCCATTTCCCCTCATCTCACTCCAAAAAGATTTCCCCTTTATCCTTAAACTAAACTATGACCCCTGATTCTGGAGTCCACCATGGTCAGGAATGCCCTTACTGTGTTTACCCTATCTAGTTCAGATCGAATTTTACAGGTTTAAGATTCCCACCTCATTCTTCTAAACTCCAATGACTACAGCCCTAACTGATCCAGTCTCTCTTCATACATCTGTCCTGCCATCCTAGAACTCCATCTGGTAAACTTTTGTTGCACTCTCTCTCCATCGCCATAACATCCTTCCTCAGATAAGGAGACTAAAACTGCACACCACACTCTGAGTGTGGTCTCCCCAAAGCCCTGTATAATTATATTAAGACATGTTTGTTCCTGTTCTCGAAAGTTCATTCCTAGAATCTGTGTTGCCGCTTTTCCCAATTCTAACTTTTCTTTTAAAAAAATCTCTTTTAATACATGCTGTGATTAACCGATTTTTTTTTTTTTTTTTTTTTTTGTTTTTCTTACCAGCTCTAAAGAATGTTTTGAGCAGATGCTTGTGACTCTTGTGTCCCCTGAACTGAGTGGCCATTTCTTGGCCATTTCAGGGGGTAGTCTATCTACAGCACAAGGAATGCAACAGTTCAAAAGGCATCTCATCACCACCTTCTCAAGGGGTAACTAGAGACGGGCAATACATGCTGGTCCAGCCAGCAACACCCATGTCCCATTAGTGAATAAATAATAAAAAAAAAAAAAAAGCTGCATCAACTACATTGCTGTGGGTCTGGAGTTGTGTAGGCCAGGCTAGGTAAGAGGATGGCAGATTTTTCTACCTGAAGGGCATTAATGAAATTGACTTAGAATTGTTTCATGGTCACTAACGCTGATTAGCTTTTATGTTCAAATTAATTCATTGAATTTAACTTCTTCCAATGGCTGTGGTGGGATTTGAACCCATGGTGCAAGAACATTTGGAATTGTAGAATCCCTACAGTGTGGAAGCAGGCCATGTGGTCCATCAAGTGCACACTGATCCTCCAACTGGCATCCCACCCAGACCCTGCATTTCCCAATGGCTAATCGACCTGAACTGCGCATCTGTGGACACAATGGGCAATTTAGCATGGCCAACCCACATAAACTATACACTTGAACAGTGGGAGGTAACTGGACTACCTGGATTAAACCCGGGCAGAGAGTCACCCGAAGCTGGAATCGAACCCAGGTCCCTGGCACTCTGAGGCAACAGTGCTAACCACTGAGCCGCTGTGCTGCCCCATTAGCTTGGGGTTCTGGATTACCTGTCCAGTGACAAAGCCACTGCACCACTTTCTCCCTGAAATACACCACCTCTGTCTCTGCGAATGAGCTTCAGTTTGGTTTCTTCCTGTTCTCTGATACTCATCCTGATGTGGCCTTTCCTCTCTCTGGTATTCACTCTGTCCCAGTCTATGTTTTTTTTTAACCTGTTATGTTTAACAGTTAAATTGTCAATTGCTGTTACTGTGTTGCTGAGTTCTGTGACTCTTACCATTTTCTAACATGGTGCCATGTTGGAGCTGGTTTGAATTTTGATTTGGGATCAATTAATGACCTCTGGGTGTTTTGCATGGGATTAGTGGAACAGTTTGCACAATGGAATCATTTAGGTATGACTGTGGGGGAGAGAGAGTTCACCAAAGGTTCCTGTGACTCCAGAGAGCACGATGTGCTAATTGCTCGATGGCACTGTGCAGGGCTCAGAAGTGATCCTTGTTTGTTTGAACAATGTGGGAGATATCAGCATGTCTTAGATTTGAAAGAATCTAGGCACTTAGGTCCATCTAAACCTCAGCCCCATGGTTGCTGGCCTCTCGTAGCTTCTGGTTTGGTGATGCCTTGATTTAATTTTACAACTTGCATCTTGCATTTGAATTCCCTTCATGGTCTTGCACCTCCCCAAATTCAACTCCTCTAGGAAAAAAAAATTAAAAAACTAATCTAAAGGTGACCGTGTAACCATTGTCGGTTGTCATAAAAACCCATCTAGTTCACTCATGCCCCTTTAGGGAAGAAAATTCTGCCGTCCTTACCTGGTCTGGCCTACATGAGATTCCAGACCCACAGTAATATGGTTGACTTGTAACTGCACCCTGGGCAATAAATGCTGGCTCAGCCAGCAACACCCACATCCCATGAAGGAATATTAGGAAGAATTCCAGCCTGTTCACAACATACACAATGAACAGCTTTGTCTTCAGTCGCCATCTGGAACCAAGGCCAGGAATTTCCTCTCTAAGCCCCTCTACCTGTCTTCGTCTGTTTTTAACATCCACCTCCCTCCCATCGTCTAACGTCTCCTCGTGTGGCTTGGTCACCAATGTTGATTTGATTGCGCTGCTCTGACCTTCTTTGGAAGACATTGTTACGTTGAAGAATCCATCTACAACAAAAGAGGAAGCCGTCTGGTCCGTCTTCCTTCGTATTCCTCACGCTGAAATGCGCGCTCTCCTGCTGTGGGTAGGCATGCAGTGCCCTATAGAGGGAGTCCACGAGCCATGTTTCCATCTACAATGATTATAAAGCTGCCTGGTTTCATGTTGTCAGCAATTTGTGGCTTTGTTCTATTACATAAATTGTTCATAAATACAGTGAATAATTGGAGGCTAGATGTGTATATCCCCATGGATACGACTCGTATTATCCTACCTATTAGTGGACAGTACCAGCAAATGATCCCTACCCTGTTTCCTGCCACTCAGCCATTTTCTAAATGATTGGTGCAAAACTAAAATTATTTCAACCTTCATTCCATTTAAAAACTCTCTCTCCGCATTAGGAAGGGTATGTTAGCATAATCAGGAATGAAGGACTGTCAGTACTTCAGTACAAAACCTCAGCCTGACCCTCCATGCGGGACTCGGAGTGCCGCACTGTCTCCAGAGCTGTCCTCTGGATGAGGCTTAAAGTCAGTCCACGTTGTTCTGTATCCTCTTTGTCTGTGGTAGTGCTAATCCCAGACTCCTTTATTTCCCCTTCCCAGTACTACCTGACAAACCCGTTCTCAAATGAGGCAGAGATCACAGCTACGTTCTGGATCATGCATTCCACAGCCTCCTGAACTGCTCCCCCTCACACTAGACTTTCCAAAATCAGTTTGTTCTCTCATGATTAATGAGATATCTTTCTTATTTCTCTTCCAGGCAAGTACAACTAGAAAAAGCCATGGAGCAGGAAGGATTAGCTGATGAAGATGTAAGTCCTTCCTCAATGAGCTGATGGCTTTGCCAGTAATTCTAACTGGTTTTATAACTACTGTAAATTTCCATCACCATCTCTCAGGACAGACAGCATTTAGTATTGGCCTTGACGTCAATTAACAACTTCCTCTCTAAGAAAAGCTGTAAAAATAGCTTTAAATTGTAGTGTTGTATACGGTTGACTCTTCATGGGGCAATCTAAAAATATACTGAAGACTTTAATTAAATTGTGTATTTCCTGATTTCTAAATCCCAAAATGTTTTAAAGCCAGTGAAATACTGTCAATGTGCAGTCTGTTGTAATTACTGGAAACATGGTAGCCAAATATGCAAGCTCCCAGAATGATGAGAGAATCTATTTTTAATGAGGGATAAACATTGACCAGGATACGAGGGAGAACTGCTCTGCTTTTATTCAAAATAATGGCTGTGGAATCTTACAAATCCACCAGAGGTGACAGGTAGGATCCCAGTTTAACTCGATTAATTGGCACCCCATCTACTCCCTCCTTCACTGACGCCCAGTAGTAGCAGTGTGTACCAATTGCAAGATGCACTGCAGCTACTCATCAAGACTCCTTTTTAACATCTTCCAAACCCACGACCACTTCCATCTAGAAGGACAAGGGCAGCAGATACATGGGAACACCCACTCCTTGCGAGATCCCCTCTGAGCCACTCTCACCTTCCTGACTTGGAAATATATCACCGTTCCTTTCCAGTCACTGGGTCAAAAATCCTGAAACTCCCTCAGGATGTTGTGGGTGTAATTACAAAGGGGAGAAAATAAGAATCTCGGTTAGGGAATCAAATGGGATGTGATTGCTGATGTCATTTTGGAATGTTTTGAGTGGTTTTTGTGTGCACTTTCCACTGGTTAAACTGGCAACAGTCTGCAGAGTTCACATTAATCATGATGACATTTATTGACATATTCTTTCTGTTGTGTTTGCAACAGAAACAAATGCGAAGAACACAACACGCTCAGAAAGAGACAGAATTTCTTCGCCTCAAGAGGACAAGGTTAGGTCTGGATGACTTTGAATCCCTAAAGGTTATAGGAAGAGGTGCATTTGGGGAGGTGAGTCTGGTGTTGGTGTTTGCTGTATAAACTTCTTGGAACCTGATATTGCAAAACAAGTCACTTGAAATGTTAGGTGCAGACAATTTTATTATCAATCTGCATTAGGGAACAATACTGCATTGTTGAAGGTTCCTGTTTCTGGAAATGTTTTTTTTGGGGTGAATTATTTTGTGCCAGGTTTTAACAAGGTTATATACAAGGCCATGCTTATTTTAATGTTCCAACAGCTTCCACGTCTGAAGTGCAGGGCAGAGGGTGCATGTGAACAGCACCAGCTACCATGTTCCCTTCCAGGTCACACACCAGCTCTGTCTAGGAATGTATTGCCATTCCTTCAGCGTTACAGAAGCAAAATCCTGGTGCTCTTTCCTAAACTCTTTCCTGAGTACAGAAGCAGGGATGTCTTGCTGCAATTGTACATGGCCTTGGTGAGACCACGCCTAGAGTATTGTGCAGTTTTAGTCTCCTTATCTGAGGAAGGATGGTCTGGCTATGGAGGGAGTGCAGTGAAGGTTTACCAGACTGATTCCTTTGACAGGACTGACATATGAAGAGAGAGTGTGGATCAGTTAGGACTATATTCACTGGAGTTTAGGACAATGAGGCGACCTTGTAGAAACCTATAAAATGCTAACGGGACTGGGCAGGACAGGTGTTACCAATGACTGGGGTTCAGAACGTGGGAAACCACATTGCTGTGAATGGCTGGGAATTGAGGAGGTGTGCAAGGAGCCTGTGGAATTAACCAAACCCTTCTTCCTGGGTATCAGCCAAGTGAACCTTCTGTGAACTATTTCCAATGCAAGCCTTTTCCTTGTAAAGTATTTTTGGATCAGCCATGATCCTAATGAATGATTGACAGAGCCAGCTCTAAGAGCTGAATGGCCTACTCCTGTTAATATTTCTTATGGCAAGGAGACAATTACTGTACACATACCCCAATGCTCCAGATGTAGCAAGACTTTTCACTACTTTTTCTGCTCAGTGCCATCTTCTGCTGTAGAGTGACCTTTTACTTACCTTCCTCATTATGTGCTGTACGTGCAGGTTAAATTTTCGATGAATTGTGTACGAGGAGATCAGAACCCTCCCAGCCGTCAAGTTCTGTAACTCCCCTCGGTTTTTTTTTTAAAATGGTACACTTATTTTCTAGACTTCCTGCCAAAGTCAACAAGTTCCCATTCTCCCACTTTATACTCCATCTGCCAAATTTTTGTCTACTTCCTTAATCTATTTATACCTGTACTGCTGGGGGGGGGAAAAAACTACATTGTTGAAACTCTTTCTGTTGCAAGAACACCAAATTGCAAAGGGACCACGTTTATACGGCATGAGAAAAAGATGTTGATTGGTTGGTTTACAGGCCAACTGTGATTGGATAGGGAGTTGCCATGAAGAATGCACTGAGCCATTGACTCCCATGGTTTAGTTAATTTTTTTTTTAAGAGTCTACTGTATATCCCTTTGCAAACATTCTCACAATTTGTGTTCAAGCTTTACTACTAGGAAGGGTTCCACCACTGAAATATGTCATTTGAGGTTTTGATAACAATCTGACACTTTTTTCTTTCCAAATTGTAACTTGCCAAATCCAAGGGAATCCATTTCCCAACTCTGTACTGTGACATTTGAACTTTCAATCTCAGTATTGCTTCTCCAGTAACACAGCACCCCAAAGGGAAAACCTTTTAATGAATCCTCTGTTTCTTTGTAATACTTCGGGGACTTTTTTATTTCTTCTTCTTCAGGTACGCCTTGTACAGAAGAAGGACACTGGTCACATCTACGCTATGAAAATCCTTCGCAAGTCGGATATGTTGGAGAAAGAACAGGTAGGAAGTTGGCTAAACAGTAACAATCTCTTTTGCATGTAACTGATCAAACCCAGAGCCATTGATTTTAATCCCATCTCTGATGGAAGTGGGCATGTGCTCTGTTTAAAATTGGTGCTGAGTACATGCCTCCCAATTTCGCACCACATTGATGTGATCAACTGGTTGAGCTCTGGGAATTCAGGAGGTGTACAAGGACCATGTAAGAACATCAGTGAGAGGAGCTGGAGTCACCATGTTAATCCTTTTGGGTACCATTCAGTACCATCATGGTTCAGTTGACAGGTAAAAAGGTGAATATAATGTTAGTATTCATCTTCAACTCTAATCTCTTGCATGGACAATGGACGAGATTGCAGGGTACTTGGCAGTGCATGATAAAATAGGGCTGAGCTATCAAAGCAGGGAAGGAGGGTCATGCCTGACAAATCAGTTGGAATGCTTTAAAAAGATAACAAGCAAGTTGGACAAGGGAGAGCTGTTGGAGATGATCTATTTGTATTTCCAGAAGGCTGCTAAATAAGATAAACACCCATGGCATTAGGGGCAAGGTACTGGCATGGATAGAGGATTCTCTGACTGGCAGAAGACAGTGTGTGGATAAAGGGGTCTTTTATTCAGGATGGCAGCCAGGAACTAGTGGAGTTCTGCAGGGGTCAGTGTTGGGGCCACAATGATTCACGTTGTACGTTAATGATCTGGATGAAGGAACTGAGGGCATTTGTTGCTAAGTTTGCAGATGACACAGAGAATGTTGGAGGGACAGGTAGTGTTGACGAAGCAGGGAGGGTGCAGAAGGACATGGACAGGTTAGGAGAGTGGGCACAGTGAGTGAGGGAGTAAAGGATGGCAGCAAGCAGATGCCAATGAGAGACCCTTTTTAAGAGAGTTGATTATGCCAGCTTTGTTCGCCATGGGCTACCAAAGTGGTAGAAGATCAAGAAGATGACAAACTTTCCTCGTCCTGTAATTCCAGTATTCCGTGTTTTTAGTCCGGATTTTTCAATCTCAGGTGGCTCACATTCGGGCAGAGCGGGATATCCTCGTGGAGGCAGATGGTGCGTGGGTGGTGAAGATGTTCTACAGCTTTCAGGACAAGAGAAACCTCTATTTAATTATGGAGTTTCTGCCGGGTGGTGAGTGCCATTAGCCAATGTTCCTAACAGGAACCCCTTTTCACACTGTAGCTTTGCCCCTGGGGTACCCCTTTGTTTCTGCTCACTGTTGCCCTGTTTGTGTTGGGGTGGGGTAGGGTGGGAAGATACTGACAAAAAAATCAGCGGAAATTTCTCACAATCTGCTTTCTTTTCTCTTGACAGATCTTTATTTAGGCAGGCAGCATTCTAACCTGTAAAAGGTAGAGGCTTTAATCCACCAGGTTACTGGATGATTGTTAGCACAACCACCTGATGAGGCATTTTAAAAAGTTGTGGCCCTGTCTGGCACCTTGGGTAGTCATTAGAAAGATCCCATGGCGTTACTGTAAAAGACATCGGAGTGAATTTCGTCAGTGTCTTAACCAATCTTTATCTGTCCACCATCATCACTTCACTTCAAATCAACCAATCTGGCTGCTGTTACACTGCTGTCTGTGGGATCTTGCTGTGTGTGAACTGGAAGTGACATTCCAGATTTCCACTCCATTCCTCTGTGTGTAGAGGTGTTCCTGACAACACCGCTGAATCATGCAGCCGTGATTTCTGGGATGAATGCCTCTCACCAATAGACTGTCAACTTTATCAAATCCCCTAAACTATCTGAAATGCCTCAGTTAGTTTATCTCTTCCGTGTTGGAGGGAACACAAGTCGGGTCTCTGGGGCCTGTCTTCATACTCTAACTTGTTTCCAAAGTCCTACAGTTCATCCCCATTGTTCCTGGATGAGCGGGTAGAGTTGAACTGTGCTCTGAAAGTGGGGTCTACCTTTTAACCCCTTACCAAAGTGAAATCCTGCTGGAAATCTGAAAGGCAAACAGAAAATATTGAAGAAAACATACTCAGCAGGTCTGGCAATATGTGTGGAGGAAGAAAAACAGAATTCCATGTTTCGGGATAATCACTTTTTATTGGAACTGGGGAGGTTAAGTGGGTCATGTTTCTCTGTCTTTCATTTGAGATGTTAAACCGAGGCTGTATTTGCCCCCTAGGGTTGATGTAAAAGAAGATCCCATAGCCAGTAGATCCATGGAGAGCAGAGGGGTTCACTACTTTATACTGGCCAACATATAGCCTTTAACCAACACTGAGCTAAAGTTACGCTCTCTCCAGGGGGAGGTGATAGCCTAGTGGTATTATCGCTGGATGTTAATTGAGGCCCAGATAATGTTCTCTTGATCCAGGTTCAAATCCCACCATGGTGGAATTTGAATTCAATAAAAATATCTGGAATTAAGAATCTAATGATGACTGTGAATCCATTGCCAATTGTCAGTATTAACCCATCTGGTTCACTAATGTCCCTTTTTAGGGAGGGAAATTCCATCCTTACCTGGTCTGGCTTACATGTGACTCCAGGCCCACAGCAATGTGGTTGACTCTGAACTGCCCTCTGGGCAACTAGGGATGGGAAATCACTGCTGCCCTGGCCAGTGATGCCATCATCCCTTTTAAGGAATTATGGGGAAAGAAATCGTTCTCTCTCACCGTCTCTCCAGAGCTGGCTTTCAGCATACTTCACCCAACATCTTAACTTACAGACTCTTTTTAATTTATTAAATTTAAATTCCTTAGCCACCATAGTGGAATTTGAACTCCTTACCCCCTCAATTGCTGGCTCATTAGCTGCTGTGGTATCGGTCCCTGTTCCTCTGATCTTGACTCAGTTAATAAGGACACGGGAATGGGGCCTGTTCAAATTCAAATTCCGCATTAAATACCATCTCAATAATCGGGAGCTTTGCAGAGACTAGGCTTGGAGGCAGGAAACGATGAGATTTTTTAATAAGGCACCATTTTGGCCTGGTCTGGGGTTTTGCGCCTACTTCTGGGATCTGGCCATTAGGGAGGACGCAAGAGGCTTCGAGAGGGTGCGGAAGAGGATTACAAGACCAGGGCTCAGGAGGCTCCCCTCGTTGAGAGAAGCTGGGGCTGTTCTCTTTAGACAAGGCAAGGCTGAGAGGAGATCTGATTAATATATTCACAATCGGCTCTGGTCAGGATGAATAAGTATTCACCCTTGTGAAAATACTGAGAGCATGACAGCACAGAATAAAAGTATTTAGTAAACGATGGAAAAAATGGACACGAAGGGAAATGTTTCCATGCGTGAGTGGTTAGCATCTGGAGCTGTCTGCCTGAGAATGTGGTGGAGCCAGGTGCTATTGAGACTTTTATAGGAACATTGGACTCGAGTAGGCCATTCAATCCATCTTATCAGCTCCTTATTTGGAAACTGTGTGCCACTGGTTCTAGACTCGCCGATCAGGGGAAACGTCTTGACTGTATCTGCTCTGTCGATCCCTTTTTAAAAAGTACTTTGCAGATGTCACACAGATCTCCTGTCATTCTTCAAAAGTCTGGAGAATACAGGCCCAGTTTGCCCCAGGTCTTTTCATTGTGAATTCAAATGAGAATTATGTGGTAATTTGAAAAGGAAAAATGTGCAGGGTGACTGAGAGCAGGCAAGACGGTGGCATTGAGTGAGCAGTTTGTCCAGAGAGCTGGCGGAGGCCATTCAGCCCACTGTGTGTGTGCTGTGAGCCCAGGATGTTGGTTCCCCCCCACCCCCGCACCTCCACACCTTGCTGACTGTGTGCCTGGGAGGTGACTGCCCCCTGTTGACTGTGTGTGTCTGTGCGTTCCCCAGGTGATATGATGACCTTGCTGATGAAAAAAGACACTCTGTCTGAGGAAGAGGCTCAGTTCTACATTGCAGAGACTGTCTTGGCCATTGACTGCATCCATCAATTGGGTTTCATTCACCGCGACATTAAGCCAGATAACCTCCTGTTAGATAACAGGGTAAGTTTCCTCTGTCCCAAGTGAAGGCTCGCCTTTGTAATTTGACCTTCTTGCAAATTCATAAAGCTACTGGTAAGTTCCTGCACTGACTTGATGGGCAGAATGCCTCCTGTGCTTGAAGATTTTATATTTCACTGTTATTACATCTGTGTAAAGTGCCTTTACTAAGTCGCTGATGCATTGCGTAGAAAATGCAGCACCAATATAGGTTTGACTGAACAGTACTGGCGTTTATTCCCCACACAAACATTCAGTCCCTGTTACCTCATGTCACCCTGTCAGCTCTGCTGTATCATCTTATTGATATCAACCAATCCTGTTCGTGTGTGTTGTGTTAAGACTTTCAAGGTGTGTGGAATGTTTTGTGATGCTGTAGGTACAATACTGAACCTTTTAAGCAGAGACAATTATTCCTTAAATCTCTCTTGTCCCTTTTATTTTGTCCTGACCGTTTCTGAGCTGCTTTTTTATTCCTTCTGTCTCTCTTCTTCGGGTCTATGGGTTAAATATTGAGAGCCCCTCCAACCCCGCACCTTCTGACTGGTAAAATGTATAGGAGTCTTGTTTCGTGTGTGTGTGTGTGTGTGTGTGTGTGTGTGTGTGTGTGTGTGCAACACTTTACAAAGCACAAAGGGGATATGGGAATCCTAGTTGAGGATGCAGGGCTAACATGCAAGTTCATTTGGCAGTTAGCAAGGCAAATGCAATGTTAGCATTCATTTTGAGAAGGCTGGGATACAAGAGCGGGGATGTACTGCTGAGATTGCATATGGCTCTAGTCGGACCACATTTGGAAATATTGTGAGTGGTTTCAGGCCCCATATCTAAGGCAGGATGTGCTGGCGTTGGAGGGGGTCCAGAGGAAGTTTACAAGAATGATCTCTGGGATAAAGGGCTTGTCATATGAGGAGCGGTTGAGGACTCTGGGTCTGTCCTTGAAGGAGTTTCTAAGAATGAGGGGGGTGTCCTGATTGAAACTTACAGAATACTGAGAGGCCTGGATAGAGTGGACGTGGAGATGTTTCCATTAGTAGGAGAGACTAGGGCACAGCCTTGGAGTGAAGGGATAACTCTTTTAGAACTGAGATGAGGAGGAATCTCTTTACTCAGAGGGTGAAGAATCTGTGGGACTCATTACTGCAGAGGCCAAGTCATTGAGTGTATTTAAGACCGAGAGAAGTTCTTGATTGGTAAGGGGGGCAAGGGTGATGGGGAGAAGGCAGGAGGATGGGGTTGAGAAACATATCAGCCATGATTTGAATGGTGGAGCATTGTCTGTGTGCCTGTATCTGGCTATTGTTGGCTTCCTCTGCACAGAAGGTTTGTGCGTAAAACATGTGGCTGAGGTAATCATTTAGTTTTTGTTCAATACTGTGTGGCTGAGATATATCACCAATGTGTTTTCAATTGTGAAGAAAGAGGTGATTTGTTCTTGTGACAGTTCAGTGTCACAAGAGCACTGTGACACTGATATCTGTTTGGTTTTTTGATAGGGTCATGTGAAACTATCTGATTTTGGCCTGTGCACAGGATTAAAGAAAGCTCACAGGACAGAGTTCTACCGAAATCTGACCTGCAGTCCTCCCAGTGATTTCAGTAAGTTTCTCTGCGAGTGAAGTATTGGGTTAGGCTACTGGGGACTCCCAAACCCAGGGAAGAGAGAGTTACTTTTTTTGATTGCATTTATTTTCCTCGCCAGCGTTTCAGAATATGAACTCCAAACGAAAAGCAGAAACGTGGAAGAAAAACAGACGGCAATTGGTGAGATTTATCCTGCTCCTCCACGGTCTTTAATTGTTTTGATAGTTATGTTATTGAAGCACTCTGTCAGGCCTTTCCCTTTTACTTGCTGAATATCAGTGGGTAGCTCTGTCACCTGTGAATTGGAAAGTTAAGGCTTCAAGTCCCATGTGTAAATTGAGACCTGAGCAGATAATCTGCTTTTGCTCACAGTGCAGTGCTGAGGGACTGCTGCACTGTTGGATGTGACACAAGAGATTCCAGAGAGGTCCCAGCTGCTTTCTCAAATGGATGCACGAGATCCTGTGGTCACTATTTTGAAGAACCTTTCTGGTTCCAGCCAGTATTTATCCCTCGATTTTTGACTTTGCCGAAACAGATTATCTGGCCATCGTTTCATTGCTGTTTGCAGGAGCTGGAACTAAGTAAATTGTCTGTCGCTTTCCCTATGTTACAAAAAGGAGCTTTACTAGCTTCAGTGGGATGTTGTGACCCTCCGCTACAGAAATGCAAGTTTTTGTTAGTCACTGAAACAGTGGGTGGTCACTTTGATGCCAGGGAAATGCAGGATACTCAGTTGCTGGCCTCTTTTTTTTTTTCCCCCTTCCCCCAATCTCTGGGAATCTCGTGTGATCAGAAACAGAATGTGAGCTTGGAGCCTGTAGTACCTGCTCTCACCCGGCAGGAGGGTTGGGTTTTGGATCAATCTTATTTTTTTTTTGAGAGAAAGTGTTTTTTATTTGAAGTTCTGCTTTTCAGGCTTACTCCACAGTTGGCACTCCTGATTACATTGCCCCAGAGGTGTTCATGCAGAATGGATACAACAAGCTGTGTGATTGGTGGTCTCTGGGAGTCATCATGTATGAAATGCTGATAGGTATGTCCAGGACCAATTGCAAAGTTCTTGGGTTAGAGATTTTGTGTGTTTTTCTGATAGGAATTACTGCAGTGAAACCCCACCTTAAACTCTGATTGTGATAGAAAATGCCACTGGTAAATGCTGTAGGCTGGATTATGGTGCAGACAGAGGCCATTCAGCCCAAGATGCCTGCATTGCTCTATCACCTAATAGCAATCTCCTACCATTTCCCTGCACACCATTTCGATCCAAATAATCGTCTAACACCTTTCTTTGTGACATCCTGAAAATATGAATTGTGCCATATAAATGCAAAACTTTTTTTTTGCAAAAACGTCAGGTGTTATAATCACAGAATTATTTTGATACAAGAGGAGGCCATTCAGCCCATCGTGCCTGTACTGGCTCTTCAAATGAGCATCGTTACCTAACGCCAATCTCCAGCATTCTCCCCATTCCTATTCACGTAATTATCCCGTGCCCCCACCAAACCTGCCTCCACCACATTTTCCAGGCCGTACGTTCCTGACCCTAACTATTCGTTGGGTGGAAAAAGTCTTTTCTGTCTCGCGTTCTCTCGCGCTCTGTTTGCTCATCACTTTAAACAAGTTCAAAAGGAAGAATTTCTTTTTTCTCCTGCGTTGTGAGTCTTTGGAGTTCTCTTCCATAGTAAAGAGTGAAATTTAATCTCAGTAAGAATCTGGAATAAAACGCTAGCCTGAATTTGACCATATAAAACATTCTTAATTGTGGTAAAACCCAGAGGATTCTCTGAAACTGTCCAGGCAAGGAAATCTGCCATCCTCACCTAATGTGGCCTACATGTGACTCTAGACAGTGTGGTTGACTTTTACCTGGGGACTCTTAGGGATGGGCAATGAACGCTGGCCTAACCAGTGAGGCCAAAGTCTCATGAAAGAAATTTTTTTAAAAAAAATACAAAGTTTTTTTTAATGCATAGAATTCTGCCATTTTCTAAACTCCAAGATTTATAGGGATTTTTACACAAGAGGTTGTTCAGTTGGTCTTTGAACAAGACACTAACTTGCTTTCTACGGGCTACCTGAGGTGTCCCCTTGCAAGCACTGACCTCATCTCCTCTCTTGTTGGTGGGGAGGGTGTGAAATGGGTAGAACAGACTTGATGGGCTGAATGGTCTCCTGCTCTTGCATTCGCTGAGTCAGACTAGAACTATGGCCTGCAGCATCATGCCCTCTCTCCCATCTCAACCCCACCCAGCCCCCCAGTTACAGCAATCCATGTTTTTAAAAGTGATTCTTTACTCTTAAGGTCTTCGTTTTGAAAACATTAGATGCTTAAGATCATAAGTGTATCAAGTCTATCCTGCAAAGTCTTTAAAATCATTTTAGTTCTCTTTTATATATAATTGAGACTGATTAATCTGTTTGTTTTGAAGTAATGCGGGATGTGATGATGTTTTTCAGGATACCCTCCGTTCTGCTCAGAAACCCCCCAGGAAACATATCGCAAAGTGATGAACTGGAAGGAAACCTTGGTTTTCCCTCCGGAAGTTCCAATTTCTGAGCGATCAAAGAGCCTAATTCTCAGGTACTCCCCTTCCTACTAGTGAATAACATGCCCACTGATTCAGTTCTTGTTGGTAAGAGCAGAAACAGTGGAATGAAGACCAATTACCAGCAGCTGCTTGGACCTCTGTGCATTATTTGTCAGCTGGAGACTGGCACTCTGAGACAGTAATTGAATAGAAGGCGGCATGTGAAAGGGCTGGCATCAGTTTATGCAGTAAGCTGAATGGCTGCCGCCTTTGGCAAAGGCATTTATATGTAATCACATCATTTCCATCATTTAATGTTAGTGTTTTCTCATTCACTCTTTGATAAACTCTAGTGTATTGATTTCAGGTTCTTCTGTAAAGAAACATAGAGTATTGGGCATTTGGAGTATAATGTGGAATAGTATAAACTTGCTGACTTTTTGGCAGGAAGAATAGAAAAACAGCAAATTATTTAAATGGAGAGTTTGTAGAATTCAGTGGTACAGAGGGATCTGGGTCTCCTGATACATGAATCACAAAGTTTAAAATTTTAACTTTTTTAAAGTCTTTTTTTTTTTTTTGGAGACTTTTAATCTGTATAATTTTCTTTATATTCATTTACTCATGGGATGTGAGCACTTCAGGCTGGTTGGCACTTATTGCCCTTCGGAAGGTAGGGGTGAGCAGCCTTCTTGAACTGTTGCAATCCATGTGCTGTAGGTAGACCCTCAAAGCCCTAAGGGAGGGAATTCCAGAATTCTGAACGGGCAACACTGAAGGAATGGCAATATATTTCCAAGTCAGGATGGTGAGTGGCTTGGAGGGGAAATTGCAGGGGATGGTGTTCCCATGTATCTGCTGCCCTTGTCCTTCTAGAAGGTAGAGGTCCTGGGTTTGGAAGGTGCTGTCTAAAGAGCCTTTTAAGGTTTTGAAACTAGACCCTTTTTTTTTTTTTTTAAAATTCACTTCTCCGATGTAGGCATTGCTGGCTGGGCCAGTATTTCTTGCCCCGTCCCTAGTTGCCCCCCTTGAGAAGGTGGGGGTGAGCTGCCTTCTTGAACCGCTGCAGCCCATGTGCTGTGGGTTGATCCACAATGTCCCTTAGGGAGGGAATTCCAGGATTCTGACCCAGTGATGCTGAAAAGGGAACGTGACTCTGAAATCTCTCAACTTGGTAAATCAGCAATTATTAATTTACTATTGGAACCCTTTTTGCTTTAACAGCTGCATTTACATTGTCGGGTTGGTGAATTCCTGTGGGACAGAATGGATCCCTTGCTGCGTTCTTTCAGATTTCTCACTTACTGAGTCTTTGCTGCACCCGTTCTGAATAAAATCAATTTGATGTCATTTAGTCCAAAACTTTTTCTCTGCGCATCTAGCGATTTTCTTTAGACAAAGTTTTTTTTGATGGAGCAAAACTCTTCCCTCTGGGGATGGGGTTATTGTACGTCCAGCACAAGAGGATAGAACCTTCAAATAAGGACCAGCCAGTCCACAATAACATTGAAGAGCACTACTTCCCACAGAGGCGAGGGAGAAATGTGGAACTGTTCCTCCACCTCCCCTCTCCACCCCCAATAAGGGGATCAGTTTGACATTCACAAACTGGGATTGGTGGGATTCTTTCCTTTTTTCCTTTTTCACGTGGGCACCAGAGCACAGGAGGATGAATGTGGTACAGATTCTGATCAGCAATAATGTGACTGAATGACAAAAGGGCAGAGCCGTGGTTAGCACCGCTGCCCCACAGCTCCAGAGGACCCGGGTTTGATTCCACCCTGAGGGAACTGTGCAAACTGCACAGAAACATTCTCCCCGTGTCTGCATGGGTTTCCTCCAGGTGCTCTGGTTTCCTCCCACAGTCCAAAGATGTGCAGGTTAGGGTGGAATGGCTGTGGGAAATTGCCCATAGTGCCCAGGCATGTGCAGGTTAGGTGGTTTAGCGATGGGAAATGCAGGGTTACAGGGATCGGGTAGGGAGGTGGGTCTGGGTGGGATGCTCTTTGAGGGTTGGCACTTGATGGGCTGAATGGCCTGCTCCCATACTGTAGGGATTCTGTGAAAGAGGTTTGATGGGCTGTTCTAGTGACACTGAGGAAGGAGAAAGGGAATATGACAAGTGATTGAAATATCTGTGTGTGCAGTCAGTGTATCTCTCTCTTTGGATAAAAGTGGCTTTGTTGTAGTAGACAGATTTTTAAATAGTAACAGGTTGAAGGATTACAGTCAGTGGGCAGGAATGTGGAATGGAGGTCGAGATGAGATCAGATGATTGTATAAAATGGCGGAGCAGGGTTGAGGGGCTGAATGGCCTGCTCCTGTTCCTAGTTCTTGTGTTGTTTATTGGACTGACTCTCCTGGTGCTGTGTTGTATGTTTTCAGATTTTGCTGTGCAGCAGATAATCGGATTGGAGCTGGAGGGGTGGAAGAAATTAAAAACCACCCATTTTTCGAGGGGGTAGACTGGGAACACACCAGGTAAGTGAAGCAGGGAGTGAGGTTGGGGAATGGGTGCTGATGTGGTGCACCACCCACTGGACCTGTTGAGGGGTGTGGGTGAGGGGTGACCTATTTGTTATTACGAGTTGTGCACTTCACCCAATTCCAAATTCACCATGCCCTGATTGTGGAAGTGATCACTGTGTCAGTCATGGCTCGGTGGATAGCATGCTCGTCCCTGAATGACCAGGTTCTGGGTTCAAATCTCGCTCCAAGCTGGACTGTAAAGTCAAGGCCAGCAGTTTACTACCGTACTGAAAGCCTCACTGTCTGAGGTACTGTCTTCTCCCCCCTCTTCCCCCCCCGCCCACCAACCAAAAGCTGGTCCGAGATGTTTCCAGCACACAAGGAGGCCATTCAGCCTATTGTATCTGTACTGGTCAAACACAGACCTGACCATACCAGTCCCAATTCAAGCTGGTGGCCCATAGCCCTGAAGACTACGGCAGTGCCAGCGAATATCTAAATACTGCATAAATATTTTCAGTTTCTGACTTGATCACCCCTTTTATTTTCAGGCAGTAAGTACCAGACTCCTTCCACCTGCTGAGTGAAAACATTTCACGTCTCCTCTTGGCCTTCTGCCTCTGACCCACAATCTATGCCCTTCGTTACTGACCCCTTTCCAAATACGGGGAGAAAGGGCCTTCCTATCTATGTCCGTCATACTCCTGTATGCCTCGATCAGGCCTCCTCTCGACCTCCGCTGCTGCAAAGCACAGGCTTGTTCCCATCAGTGGTGCTTTGTCATTCCCTTTCCCTCTGTATAGTGGGGTGAGGATGGGAATCAATTCTTGCTGTTGATACTTACACTCAGCCATTTAGCCAATGGAGCGAAGTGAGGCAGGGTCTGTGGTGGACACTGATAGAATGGCCATAAGACATAGGAGAAATTTGGCCATTCGGCCCATCAAGTCTGCTCTGCCATTCAATCATGGCTGATAAGCTCCTCAACCCCATTCTCCTGCTTTCTCCCCGTAACCCTTGATAAGCAAGAACCTATCTATCTCCGTCTTAAATGTACTCAATGACCTGGTCTCCACAGCCTTCTGTGGCAGTGAATTCCATAGATTCACCACTCTCTGGCTGAAGTAGTTTTTCCTTATCTCTGTTCTAAAATGTCTTGATAGAGGTGTACAAAATGATCAAAGGTATAGATAGAGTAGACAGCCAGAGACTTTTTCCTAGGGTGGAGGTAGCTTTTATGAGGCGACATAGTTTTAAAGTGAGTGGAGGTAGATATAGGGGAGACGTCAGAGGTAGGTTCTTTACTCAGAGAGTGGTAGGGGCGTGGAATGCATTGCCGGAGAGGGTAGTGGAGTCAGCCTCATTAGGGGCATTTAAGCGGCTATTAGATAGGCATATGGATGATAGTATAAGGTAGGGGTGGAGGTTAGATAGACCTTAGGTTTAGGGTAAAAGTTTGGCACAACATTGTGGGCCGAAGGGCCTGTACTGTGCTGTACTGTTCTATGTTCTAACAGGTCTTCCCTTTAGTCTCAGGCTGTGCCCTTGGGTCCTAGTCATGATTGACTATTCGCCTCAAACTGAGTTCAAGAACCACTGGGGGGTTTCTCAAAACTGCTGTAAAAAGACAAAAGTGGCGGGGGGTTGTGTCGGTTAGCTCAGTTGGCTAGACAGAGTGATGCCAACGCACAGGTTCAATTCCAGGTGAGGTTACTATTTAAAGGCCCAATGTCTCCCCTCCCCTGAAGCCTGGTGCCCCTCAGGTTAAACCACCACCAGTCGTCTCTCTGGTGAGAGAGACCCTACAGTCCTGTGGGGCAGTGGTGACTTGGGATATGGAGCATAGGGAGAGGGAAGTCTGTTTAAATTGTTAAAATAATGATTGGAAAGTGTAGATGTGGAAAAGGTTCCCTCTGGTGGGGGAACTGAAGAAAGGCACCAATGTAATTAACTGCTCAAGCACAAGGTGGCTCTCTCGCTCTCGCGCTCTCACTCTCTCTCCTCCCAGAGGCTGTCAGTTCTGGAGATGGGTGGAAACACTATTGGAGAGAAGTTTAGCTGAGGGGGTATGAGAGGTCATCGAATGATTAAATAAATAGTGCCAATGTCCAGGGTTACAGGGCAAGGGAGATTGGCATTAAGTTAAAATGCTCAGAAAGCCAGTTAGGGCATGATGGGCTGAATGGTCTCCCTCTGCACAGGGATAATTCCCAAATCAGGGATGTGGAACATCCTAGGCAGCGTTGCTGGAGCTGAGGTTTGACGTTCCCCATGTAAAGGGGAGTGGAGGATGGGAGGGCAGAGGCTGTGATCGAAAAACACTGCACAAGTGGTTTTGAAACATTAAATTCTCACCCTTGTGTTCAAAGCCCCTGGCAGCACCCCTCACTATAACCTCCCTCAGTGCCACCACCTCTGAGAGCTTGGAAAAAATTACTGATTTGCAAAAGAAGCAAGGCTCAAGTGAGGAAAATCTCTTTCTTTTAAAAAACAGAAGTTGCTGGAAAAGCTCAGCAGGTCTGGCAGC